GTTCCATCCACATTATTGCAAATGGCAAGATTTAATTTTTTTTGGTTGTCGAGTAATAACTCCATTGTATATATATATATATATATATACCACATCTTCATTTTCCATTCATCTGTCAGTGGACATTTGGGCTCTTTCCATACTTTGGCTATTGTCGATAGAGCTGCTATAAACATTGGGGTGCATGTGCCCCTTTGAAACAGCACACCTGTGTTCCTTGGATAAGTACCTAGTACTGTAATTGCTGGATTGTAGGGAAGTTCTATTTTTAACTTTTTGAGGAATCTCCATACTGTTTTCCAGACTCCAATTGCCTAGTTGGTAAAAAAATTATGAAAATTATCTAATGTCATTTATTTATTATTTTCATATAACAAAAGACTTATACATTGTATACATTAATACCTAATTTAAGAATTTAATATATGCATCTTGTATGCATTATTTTCTTTCTTTTAATAATGATGATGATATTGAGCAGTATTCCCATGATAGACATGAGCCCTTTAAATGTTTGTTTATTTTTTTTAGAAAGAGAGAGAGAACACAAGCAGGGAAAGAGCAGAAAGCAAGGAGAGAGAGAATCCCAAGGAAACTGCACTGTCAGCACAGAGCCAGATGTGGGGCTCGAACTCATGAACTGTGAGATCATGACCTGAGCCGAAACAAGAGTCAGATGCTTAACTGACTGAGTCACCCAGGTGCCCCTGTATTTGTTGTTTTTTTAAAAATTAGTGTTCAGAGACTAGTGAGTAAGATTGGGAGAAAGAGTCAAGGTTTAGAAAAGAATGCTTTGACTAGATAATGAAGAAAAGTGCTAGGATATATAAGCAAGAAATACTCTTGATGGTGATTTAATTGTAGACTCTCAGGAACAAATGGGCCTAAACTATTCAGTACTAATTAATACATACTTTGCTATTCTACAGTGCAATTATATAAAGGAACTGTTGAGTAATAACCAGCATTGTTGACAGGGGACTAGTAACAGACTTTTTTGATACATGTCAAAATCTAAAAGAGGAAGAAATTGAGGCTGATGGTCCATGAGAAGACAGGACATCTATTTCAAGAAAGAGACACCATTTTAGTTAAGCTTACAAATATTCGTATGCTATGGGTGGTAATGGCTTTCAACAAACCCTCCCAGAATTTACTCATCCTTTTTGTTGTTGTTAATGTTTATTTTTGAGAGAGACAGAGAGAGTGTGGGAGGGGCAGAGAGAGGAGGACAGAGGATCTGAAGCAGGCTTTGTGCTGACAGTAGAGAACCCGATATGGGGCTCGAACTCAAGAACCGTGAGAATATGACCTGAGCTGAAGTTAGACACTTAACCAACTTTTTTTAAGATTACTTATTTATTTTGAGAGAGAGAGAGAACGAGCGAGAGCGAGCAAGTGAGCATGAGTGCGGGAGGGGCAGAGATAGGGGGAGAGAGCCAATCCCAAGCAGGCTCCGTGCTGTCAGCACAGAGCCCGGTGCAGGGCTCATGTACCATGAGATCATGACCTGAGCCAAAATCAAGAGTTGGATGCTTAATCACCTGAGCCACCCAGGCACCCCCAGAATTTACCTATCTTAAAGTGTCCTTGGAGAGTAAGACTGTGGTTTCTTTTCCTAGTTAGTAGCCATTCTAATATATGATGTACATAAAATAAATTGTAAAATCTCAATATTGTATAATATAATGATATGTTAAAGTGTACGGTGACAAGTATAGGTATAGAAGGGTCAGATTTATTCAACAGTGGAATACTGGCTAGAAAGAACTTTGAGGTTTTCTCTTAAATTATTTTATCAAATTATTTTAGGACAAAGTAGACCCTGACTGGGCATTAAAAATGTTAAGTAATGAGGATGCATGGATGAATAAAACATGCCTCTGGTCCTCAAGGAGCTTGAAATACATTAAGACAGAGAAGTAAATAGACACACTACTACAATTCAATGTGTAAAGTGCTATGATAGTGGTAAATGCAGCATTCTATGGAATCACAAAAAAGGGTACCCAATACAAAGTAAGGAGAGATCATTACTTTCCATGATATGAATCCTCAAGCACTTAGCATAATACTGAGCATATGGTGGTCTTCAAATATTTGATTAATTGGAACCTACTTGATTTAAAAAAAAAAAAAAAAAAAGAGCCTGGACTTAATTTTTGCTTAAAGTGAAGTCTTTAAACTATGTATGCCAAAATGTTTTTCTTTATGAATACTTTCATGTTGATTGAGTAATTTCAATGACCATATAAATTAATCAGAGCTATGTAGAGCTAACTCTTGGATGTAACTAGTAGTAGACAACAGGATGGATTTCATATTTTAGAAACAGCTGTGCGGCACAGAGCTGGACACATAGTAAATGCTCAACACTAATTATTTAGTTTTTTTAAAAAACTTCAGAGTTTATGGGGCACCTGGGTGGCTCAATCAAGCGTCTGACTTCGGCTCAGGTCATGATCTCACGGTTTGTAGTTTGAGCCCCACATCAGGCTCTGTGCTGACAGCTCAGAGCCTGGAGCCTGCTTTGAACTCTGTGTCTTCCTCTCCCTCTCTCTCTGCCCCACCCCCACTCATGCTCTGTCTCTCAAGAATGAATAAACATTATGGGGCGCCTGGGTGGCTCGGTTGGTTAAGCGTCCGACCTCAGCTCAGGTCATGATCTCACGGTCTGTGAGTTCGAGCCCCGCCTCGGGCTCTGTGCTGACCGCTCAGAGCCTGGAGCCTGTTTCAGATTCTGTGTCTCCCTCTCTCTCTGCCCCTCCCCTGTTCATGCTCTGTCTCTCTCTGTCTCAAAAATAAATAAACATTAAAAAAAAATTTAAAAAAAATGAATAAACGTTAAATATTTTAAATAAATAAAATTTCAGACTTTATTCAGTGATTTCTTGTCATTGCAAATGAAAAGATCTCATTCTTTTTTATGGCTCAGTAATATTCCACATATGTGTGTGTGTGTGTGTGTGTGTGTGTATATATATATATATATATATGTGTGTGTGTGTGTGTGTGTATATATTTGTATCCTTTGAATAAATACCTAGAGGTGCAATTGCTGGATTGTAGGATAGTTCTGTTTTTAAATTTTTGAGGAACCTCCATACTTTTTTCCAGAGTGGCTACACCAGTTTGCATTCCCATGGATAGTGTAAGAGGGTTCCTCTTTCTCTACATCCTCACCAACACCTATTGTTTCCTGTGTTAATTTTAGCCATTCTGACAGGTGTGAGGTGATACCTTATTGTGGTTTTGATTTGTATTTCCCTGATGAGTGATGTTGAGCATCTTCTCTCATGTGTCTGTTAGCCATCTGGATGTCTTTGGAGAAATGTCTATTCATGTCTTCTCATTTTTTAACCAGATTATTTGGGGGGGGGGATGTTGAGTTGTATAAGTTCTATATATATTTGGGATACTAACCCTTTATCTGATACGTCATTTGCAAATATCTTCTCCCATTCTGAAGGTTGCCTTTTAGTTTTGTTGTTTCCTTCACTTTATAGAAGATTTTTATCTTGATGAAGTCCCAGTTACTTGTTTTTCCTTTTTTTTCCCCTTGCCTTAGGAGACATATCTAGTAAGAAGTTCCTACAGCCTGATGTCAAAGAAGTTACTGCCTGTGTTCTCTAGGATTTTGATGGTTTCTTGTCTCACATTTGTCTTTCATCCATCTTGAATTTATTTTTGTGTGTGGTGTAAGAGAGAGGCCAGTTTCGTCTTTTGCATGTTGCTATTCAGTTTTCCCAACACCATTTGTTGAAGAGACTGTCTTTTTTCCATTGGATATTCTTTCCTGCTTTGTGGAAGATGAGTTGACCGTATAGTTGTGGATCTATTCAATGATTTCTCTAACCCTACCACCAAACTCTTTAAAGGAGTTTCTTAATTACTAAGATTAATTGTGATGGAATAACATGAAAAGCATGAATCTTGTGCAGTAATAAGTACTATATTAACCAGTGGGAACCCTGAGCAAGTAAAATGAAAGCCATATCCTTGGCATATATGAAGGAAAAATGGCTTCTAAGCCTTATATATAATACTAGGGACACTTTACATATGATTGGACTTAGAGCTAATCCATATGAAAAATTAGAAGTCGGTACTAAATTCTGTGGTAGTGACTATAAATACAAATGAATTCATTAATTAATTCAGTAAATTTAGGTTTCAACTTTATGATCACCCCACCCTAGGCCCAGAGATACAGACATTTAAAAATGTAGTCTGGGAATGATGCAGGGAAACACAATTGTGGCACAGTGTGATTCAGTGCTATAATAGAAATAAGTACCAAGTACTGTTGGTATACAAAAGAAGAACAGCTAATGGTGCAGAAAAAGAAAAAATTAGTATGAATTAGGTTAGTCATAAGCTTAATTTTTTTTTTTAATTTTTTTTTTCAACGTTTATTTATTTTTGGGACAGAGAGAGACAGAGCATGAACGGGGGAGGGGCAGAGAGAGAGGGAGACACAGAATGTGAAACAGGCTCCAGGCTCTGAGCCATCAGCCCAGAGCCTGATGCGGGGCTCGAACTCACGGACCGTGAGATCGTGACCTGGCTGAAGTCAGACGCTTAACCAACTGCGCCACCCAGGCGCCCCAGCTTAATTTTTTTAATAAGCAGGCAATGTGATATTATTTTGTTGTGACTTTGTAACATTTGTTACCTGATATGTTTTTAAGGAACTTGTAGATTATATTTCTGTTATATAAAATGAGATTATATACCCCCAAAGGCTATTTATAAGTCATGTGGTAGTTGAGTTTGCCAGCAGCTTCCCAAATGTCATTATACTATAGTATACCAATTATGAACTATATTCAAACCCAGGTTGACTTAATTCAGTGAAATAAGATATCTACTTTGTCTGCCATTTATTATATCTAACTACTAGGAATCATTAATATGCTATAAACATACAGATGATGAAATTTCCCATAAATATTAACCAGTTTTGGTCCATTTAACAGTCTTTTTTCTTTCTTATTAAGGGTCTACTGTATTTGCTGGTAACAGACCAGGGGTTTCTTACAGAAGAAAAAGTTGTTTGGGAAAGCCTACACAATGTGGATGGTGATGGAAATTTCTGTGACTCAGAATTTCATCTGCGGCCTCCTTCAGATCCTGAAACCGTATACAGAGGACAACAGGATCAGATAGATCAGGTAGATTTGCTTTCTTTTCATATCATTTAAAATGCTCATTCCTTTTGGAGCACCTCGGTAGCTCAGTCATTTAAGCATTCCGACTCTTGGTTTTGGCTCAGGTCATGATCTCCCAGCTTCATGAGTTCGAGCCCTGCATCAGGCTCTGCGCTGAGAGCACAGAGCCTGCTGGGGATTCTCTCTCTCCTCTCTCTGCCCCTCCCCCACTCGTGCTGTCTCTCTCTCTCAAAAGTAAATAAATAAACTTAAAAAAAATTAAAATTCTCCTTTCAAATGTGAATTCAGTTATCCAAAACTTTTGAACTAAAGATTTATTCATTTATATGCTTGTGAAATTTTCCCGACATTTTCTAAATCAGTAAATGATCATTTTACGTGTTGTACATTGACTCTACACTTTGGTTCAGAAGGCCAGTGTATATTGAATTGTGAAGGTCATGGTACAGAGTTTGAATTTTATTTTAATTGTAGGGAAGATATGGCGAGTGTTAAACATGGAAGTAAGATGATCTACCTTTTTTAAAGGCTGCTATGTGAAGAATGCATAGGAATTACACAGGTATAAATGGAGACTAGCAATTCAAGCGAGAGGTGATGATGGCTGAGCACTGGCGTTAGAGATGAGATGAGTACAGATTTAAGATATATTTGGGTAGTCAGAAAAAGTAGGAAAAAGAGTCTTGAAGATAGCATGCAGTGGGTAAAAAGTAAAACGTATGAAGTCTTAGAGTCCAAGGTAAGCAGACATTTACAACAAGTGCTGCTCAAGTGAGTAGAATTCTCATTAAGAAGTGAGACAGATGAGATCTTTGCCTGCTATAGGTTGGCAGGCTTGGAGCCATAGGAGTGTTTACTATTGGAAGTATAACAGTGATATGACTTCTTCCCTGACTGAGGCAGAAAATTGGTCATGTTGAACAGTTGGCACATGAGTCTAATGCTGATAACATCAGATGCTGATAACAATTTAAGTAGATAAGATAGACTGTTCATTTAGTCAATATTCACTGAGCTGTTGTATTCCTGGTACTATTAACAAGCTCCTGGGGACTCACAGATAAATCATATAGTACAATCCTCACAATTCCATAGTCTAACAGAGGCCGATATTTGACCAATTAACTATTATATGTCATCCTCTATAATGGCAGTTGCACAGAAGAATACTGGATTCAAAGATGCTAATCTTTCTTGGACTTTTGGAAGTTAAGTATCCAAACAGCTATAATAATCAATGTACGCATTTTCCTTCAGAAGCTTTATGGGGCTATTTAAAATATATATATTACTTGAGAAATGTGCAAGATTTTTCTAACACTATATATAAAAAATATCAGAGCAGAGGGAATGAAGGTAAGGCAATAGATTGCTACAGTAGTAAAGATGTAAGATGTGAGAAAAAAGATACATGATACTCTCTGTGGAAATAGCAAGGAAAGAGTGGATTTAAGACCTAGGGACTTGGCAAAGAGCAGTTTGAAGAAGTGAGAAAAATTTGAAGGACAAATTCTTCATATTAGTAAGATATTCATGCTAGATAGTCCAAGGTCTTCACAGATAACCACCTTTTAGATATCCTCTGTGGGTGGTTAATATTCTCTTATTTTGAGGATAGACTGGGAGAGATAAACAGCGTAGTCAAGTTTCATTCAGTACTAATTCTTAATGAATGTGGGTGTTAAGTATTTTTAAGTTTACTCATTTATTATTTCTGAAGGAAAGAGAGAGAGTGTGTACGTGCACGTGCTCAAGCGGGGAGGGGCAGAGAAAGAGAGAGGGAAACACAGAATCCGAAGCAGGCTCCAGGCTCTGAACTATCAGCAGAGTCGAAGATGGGGCTTGAACTCAAAAACCGTGAGATCATGACTTGAGCTGGTTGGGTGCTTAAGCAACTAAGCCACCCAGGCGCCCCAGATTATACAACTTTCAGCCGAAGATGCATCACTTTTTCTCAGAGGAAATAATTTGGGTGTGTGGGAGATGGGAGGAAAAGGTGTTTAAGTAATTGAATATGCCTGTATGTTGGAAAACTGTTGCCTTTAAAAATCATGTTTTGGAAGACCATTTAATAAATGATTTGGGGAAATTCTTGTTTTAAAAAAAAGTTTTTTGACATTAAATGGGGGTTGGAAGATGTGTTTGAGTTTGTGTGTTAATGTAGAAAAAGCTAGGTGGATATATATCAATTGTTAATAATAGTTATCTTTGCATAATGATATGGCAATTTTAACTTATTTATGCTTTTTTATTTTGTTTCAGTTTTCTGCAGATGTGTTTCTTTCATAAACTGGCAAGGTTTATTTTATTTTTGTTTGTAGGCTCTATGCCCAACATGGGGCTTGAACTCACAACCCCAAAATCAAGAGTTGCATGCTTTAGACAGAGCCACCCAGGCACCCACAGGGGGAGTTTGGTGAGGGTTTTTTTTTTTTTTTTTTTTTTTTTTTTTGGTTTTGGTTTTTAGGGAATTGGTTTTTTTGTTTGTTTGTTTTGCTTTCATTTAAGTAGGTTCCATGCCCATTGCAGAGCCCAGTGCAGGGCTTGAACTCAAGACCCGAGATCAAGAGTTGGCCAAGATCAAGAGTTGGATGCTTAACCCACTGAGCCACCCAGGCACCCCTAGGGGAGTTGTTTTTAAAGCTTTCTTGAATGCTTTATATACTGCTTCTAGAAATAATTTTAAATGAATTCCAAGAATATTTAGAACAATGGCAGCATCACTGAAATTGTAGCTCTCAAACACTTAGATAGCTTTAATTTTTATATTTAAGCTCTGGTATGTTTTTTAAAAGCCATTCTCATAGTTTTGTAGGTACAACTTGTGCATTTACACTTACCAGTTCTTGAGTGAAATCTCATGGCTAAAGAGGTTTATAATTTAATTTCTTAGGACTATCTTATGGCATTATCTCTACAACAAGAACAGCAGAGCCAAGAGATCAACTGGGAACAAATACCCGAAGGAATCAGTGATTTGGAACTAGCAAAGAAACTCCAAGAAGAGGAGGATAGACGGGCTTCTCAGTATTACCAGGAACAGGAACAAGCAGCAGCAGCTGCTGCTTCTGCTTCTCCACAGGCCCAGGTAAAAGCTAGGATTCGTGCCAAGATAAGTATTTTAAATTAGGTATTGATTCTTCAATTACATTAGCATGTTAGCACCTGTGGATTTTATGGCATTGTCCTAAGTTTGTGTTTATCTTAATATACTTCTTATTTACTAAAATTATTTTTCCTGAGATTCTGAGGGCAAGATTTTTCAGTTAAAAAATTTAATTCCAGTAGAGTTAACATAGTGTTCTATTAGTTCTAGGTGTACAATTTGGTGATTTAACAATTCTATGCATTACTCAGTGCTCATCAAGCTAAGTGTTCTTTTAATCCCCTTCACCTATTTCCCCCATCCCCCTCTCCTCTGGGAAGCATCTCTGTTCTCTATATTTTGTTTTGTCTTTGTTTTTCTTTGTTCATTTGTTTTGTTTCTTAAATTCCATGTATGAGTGAAATCATATGGTATTTGTCTTTCTCTGACTTACTTCACTTAGTATTGTACTCTCTACCTCCATCCATGTTATTGCAAATGGTAAGATTTCATTTTTTTTTTAATTTTTAAAAAATGTTTATTTTTGAGAGAGAGAATGAGCAGGGAAGGGACAGAGAGGGAGAAACAAAGAATCCAAAGCAGGCTCCAGGCTCTGAGCTGTCAGCACAGAGCCCATTTTGGGGCTCGAATTCATGAACTGCAAGATCATGACCTAAGGCAAAGTTGGACACTTAACCGACTGAGCCACCCAGGCAACCCAAGATTTCATTTTTAAAATGTTTTTATTTATTTTTGAGAGATAGAGCATGAGCTGGGGAGGGGCAGAGAGAGAGAGGGAGGCACAGAATCTGAAGCAGACTCCAGGCTCTGAGCTGTCAGTACAGTGCCTAATGCGGGGCTCAAACTCGTGAACCGTGAGTTCATGACCTGGGCTGAAGTTGGACACTCAATAAACTGAGCCACCCAGGTACTCCCATTTTTTTAATGGGTAATATTCCATTGTATATATCTACCACATTTTTAAAATGTTTATTTTTGAGAAAGACAGTGTGTGAGTGGGGGAGGGGCAGAGAGAGAGGGAGACACAGAATTGGAAGCGGGCTCCAGGTTCTGAGCTGCTAGTTCAGAGCCCAACATGGGGCTCGAACTCATGAGCCATGAGATCATGACCTGAGCCGAAGTCAGATGCTTAGCCCACTGAGCCACCCATGCGCTCCTATGGCACATTTTCTTTGTCCATTCATCTACTGATGGACCCTTAGGTTGCTTCCATAATTTGGCTATTGTAAATAATGCTGCAGTAAACATAGGCATGCATGTATACATTTGAATTACTGTTCTGTACTCATTGGGTCAATACCCCGTAGTGTATTACTGGATCATAGATAGGTTACTTCTATTTTTAATTTTTTGAGGAACCTCCATACTGTTTTCCACGGTGGCTGCACCAATTTTCATTCCCACCAACAGTGTACAAGGGTTCCTTTTTCTCCAAATCCTTGAAAACACTTGTTGTTTCTTATGTTTTTTTAATTTAGCCTTTCTGACAGGTGTGAGGTGATACCTCATTGTGGTTTTGATTTGCATTACCTGATGAGTCGTTGTCATCATCTTTTCATGTGTCTCTTGACCATCTATTTGTCCTCTTCGGAGAGATCTCTGTTCATGTCTTCTGCCCGGTTTTTAATAGGATCATTTGGATTTTTTGGTGTTGAGTTTTGTAAGTTCTTTATATATTTTGGATACTAACCCTTTATCAGATAAATCACTTATAAATGTCTTTTCCCGTTCAGTAGGTGGTCTTTTAGTTTGATTGCTTCCTTTGCTTTGCAGAAGCTTTCTATTTTGATGTAGGCCCAATAGTTTATTTTTGCTTTTGTTTTCCTTGCCTCAGGAGACATATCTAGAAAGATGTTGTTATGGCAGACAAATTACTTCCTGTGCTCTCTTCTAGTATCTTTATGGTTTCAGGTTTCACATTTAGGTCCTTAATCCGTTTTGAGTTTATTTTATGTATGGTGTAAGAAAGTGCTCCAGTTTCATTCTTTTACATGTAGCTGTCCAATTTTCCCAACACCATTTGTTGAAGAGACTTTTTCCTGTTATATATTCTTTCTTACTTTGTCAAAGATTAGTTGACCATATTAACTGTGGGTTTCTTCCTGGATTTTCTTTTCTGTTCCATTGAGGTATGTGTCTGTTTTTGTGCCAGTATCATACTGTTTTGATTGTTACAGCTTTGTAATATAATTTGAAGTCTAGAATTGTGAAGCTTCCAGTTCTGTTTTTCTTTTTCAAGATTGCTTTGGCTATTTGATGTCTTTTGTGGTTCCATACAAATTTTAGGATTGTTCTAGTTCTGTGAAAAATGGTGTTGGTATGTGATAGGAATTCATTAAATCTGTAGATTGCTTTGGGTAGTACAGACATTTTAACAATATTTATTCTTCCAATTGGTGAGCATGGAATGTCTTTGTTTCTTTGTGTCATCTTCAATGTCTTTCATCAGTGTTTTATAGTTTTAGGAGTATAGGTCTTTCATCTCTTTGGTTAAGTTTATTCCTAGGCATTTTATTATTTTTGCTGCAATTGAATCAAATTTAAGTTGTTAATAGCTCCAAAGAATATCAACCAATTGGAACAAAGTCTTCTGTAAAAATTCCAGGGCAGTATGAAGTACTACTGGTAACAGGGTACACTTCAGAGCCAGATAGACATGGATTGCATTTCCTGCTTCTGTATCCCCTTACCAGGGGGATCAAAGTCCCCTACCTCTCTCAGCCTCATTTTCCCTATCTTGAAAATAAAAGATAATGCTTAACTCTTAGATTTCTGTTTAAGGACAAATAAGGCTAGTACTTAAGCCAATGTATGACATGTACTAAGTATTCAACAAAGATTAGCACATTTCCACTTTTCACTTTTCCCAGTTAAACGTTTTAAGCACTGCAAATGTTACTATAAGTGGGTTCCTTTGTGTTAAATCTCATTTTATTGAGATGTATGAAAAATGAGAAAATGAAAGAAATTCTCCTTTTGTTATGTTTAACTGTACCATGCCAGAACTGTTCCTCTGACTTAGGATACAAAGAAGATAAGATGCTCTTTAAGGTCTGATGAAATTTTAAACATAGAGGTCTCCATTAAACTAAGTATTTATATTTCTAGTTCAAATATTGATTACTCCAAGGTTAAAATTTAAAACCTGGTATATTTTTACTAGCTCTTCACTAAAAAAATTTTCTTATTTCACAGAATACACTTATTTCACACTCAAAGTTCTCAGGATTTTTTTTTTCTCCTTGAAAATCTGTTTATTATAGTATTTGATGAGGTCCTAGGGAACTTAGTTTACCAAAAGTTGTCAATTTCTTTAACATAATCTTTAACAAATATTTCTTGAATTTGAGGCTTCAGGGAATATAATCCTCCACATTATTTATTGTTTGAAATTTCTTTTACCTATAATAATTAATACATTAATTAGATCTATCTAAAATGATAGAGGCAGTTACTCAGATACCATATAACAAGTCTGTGACCAAATAACTTTTTTTTATTAATGATTCCTTTCACTCTTATGGTTTTTCTTTCTAGATAAGTATGATTAAGCACCTTAGAAAGTTGAGGTAATTTCTTCCTGTTTATTTTTCTTAAAGCAAAGCCAGCCAGCACAAGCCTCTCCATCAAGTGGAAGACAATCTGGGAATAGTGAACGTAAACGAAAGGAACCTCGAGAAAAAGATAAAGAAAAAGAAAAGGACAAAAATAGCTGTGTCATTTTGTAACAAGTGGTGGGTTCTGTTGGATGCGTCTGTAAGTCTTGAGAAACAAAACCACAGGAGGAAAGGAAGAAAAACCGATAAATACCGTCTGTGCCTGATTTCCCAATGGATTTTGTTCATGTTTTTCAGGGGAAAGGTTGTTACTTAGTTACAATCAGACTTTTTCAAGTCACACAGTACACTCTTCGTGAGCTGGAGTTTCGCGTTACAAGTTGGAAATGCTGTGTGGTATCATACATGAAAAATACTGCACTTGTAGCCAAATAAGCAAATCACAGCAAATTTTGTGTCATAGTGACATTCATAACTCATATCAGTTAGTAAGCTATTTTATCTTTTGTTCTAACAATGAATGGAGGTAACTGATTTTGTCTGATTCCTTCCTGAAATCTAAATATTAGCACAATAGTTTCTGAAATTAATTTTTACAATGTTAAATTATTATCTAATCCAAGAGAAACCAGGGGGTTAATATAGGGATATAAAAGGAAAACACACACACACACAGACACACACAATCTCACACACACACACACACACACACACACACACACACACACACACAAAACACAAGAAACAAACCAAGACAAAAAATAACAAATAAATAACCTTTAATCCTGTATTGGACTAGTTCAGCCCTTGAACAGCTTTACCTTTCTTTAGGAATGTACATTTTAGATACTATCTTGAGAACTGATAATGGAGCTTGGGTTTAATTTAGATAGAAAAAATAAGTTGTATTTCTTTTCCAATAGCAAAAAAATTACATAACACTAATACTCATATTCTGTAAAATCAGATATTAATGACTTTGTAGTGTTGTGAAATTTTGAGGAATTTTGAATTCTTTAATATATGTAACTTGTACTACAGTTACTATTTATTGAAAGTGCGATAACTGATAAGAAGGAAACCACAGTGGATGCTAGGCCTTGTAAATACAGGAATATAGAAAAGCAGATAGTTCAAATGTCTACCTTTTTCTAGAATTACCTTGAACCTTAAAATTTAAATCATGTTTTTTTGCTAGAAAATTACGTATACTTAGTAAAGCCAACAAAAAAGCACATTTCTGAAAGGAAGTTAGAGATATAATCTCTGAGTCTAGTGAAGCGCATTAATAAAAATCTGTTTGAAAATAGATAAGAATTGGGAGGAATTTATGTAAAAGCAATCAGACTTTTTTAACTTATGGGAACCAAATAGACCTATAACATCTTGTAGTGTTTATAGGATTCAGAAAGAATATTTATTGAACTTTATTATGAGGCAACACATATTTTCCTGTATTTCTACTATCCTTAATAGTCCTTTTTATATATGCTTTATATTTAAAAGTTTGATTTAGTCATTTTTGAAAAGACTATTGCTGCTGCAGGTAGTTATGTGATTTACATTCTAAGCCTCAGTAAATTTGTTTAGGAGCATCTTTATCTAACCTGAGCATCCACTTGGAGAATGTTTTTTGTGGTCTGGGGTGACAGTAGACTACAAAAAAAAAATGTGGTGTAGAGTTCTTAAGCTATGTCTTTAACATTCTCCATGATCCAAGACTATTTATAGGATGAGTCTGTATGTAAAAATAAAAAGTAAAGTCTTATTTATGGAAGGAATTATTCTAAGGGAAAAATCCAGGGTCAAGCTGTATCTTTTATGTCATGTCCTTCTGTATTGCATGTCTGGTTATGTTATACCATTTGTTACTCCTTCAGATTTCCTATACTAGCATGATAAATCATCAGAGAACCTGTTTGGGGTATAACACTTTGATACAAAATATCTGGTGAGTCTCTTGTTAATAACCTAGAATATGTGTACATTGTGAAATAATCAAATTACTACAGAATTCTCTGTTGGCTCAAGCAAGTTGACCTTAGTTCAAGTTTACTCTTGATATCACTCTATTGGTTGGAGGAGGAAAATGAAACCTTAGGGTTTGTTTTTCCTAGAAGAGATAGTAGTGACAGTGCATTATATTTTAATAAGAAAAACAAAACAGTAAATCCTGAGAAATTTTAAAAAGCATATTTGAGGCGTATTTTTCCATAATTATATACTTATCTATTTATTACCCTTGAAAAATATATGTGTAAAAGTTATTCTTCTGTTATTTGTTACTATCTTCTTAATTTGTTCCAAAGATAATACTGCCATTCTGCATTCCCTCTGGAAGGAAAAAAAAAACAAAAAACAAAAAAACAACTTAAAACCAGCAGTGCTGCTATCAGATAAGTAGATGTCAATGTATACTTATAAAAAATAACTAAAAAATGTAATGTGTTTGTTAATTCAACCTTTTTTCTACATAATATTTCCAAGTCAGACTTTCTTACATTCCTGGAATTCAGTTTGATATACCAAGAGTAATACTGATAAAATGTTTGCTTTGATTACTGTGAGGAAAAAATTAAATGTTCAATTCTATTAAAACAAATTTCTTGGGAGATACTGGTTTCCCAACCTTGAAGGTTAGAGCTATTGTGTCTTTATATTCTTAAATTTTGCTCAAGGCAACAAATTACATATTCAGACATTTCATTGCTGGTTTGGGGATATTGGAATTTGATAGTGGTGTGTTACAGGCTTTCCTTCGCAATATTTTGTAGTACTTGAAAACTGTTACATGAACTGCTAGCAGAAGTTAGAACTTAAACATTTTTGTTTTTAATATTTGTAGGCTAGATTAGGGACACATTTGTATCAACCGATCACTATTACAGCTAGCAAAAGAGACATAAATGAATGGATATGGTCACTGCACTTTCTTGTACTTTCAAAGGCTATTTCATAAGTTTAGTGACCAGTCTTTGTTAGCAATATGAAAAGTGTCCTCATGTGTAACCCCAGTGAATCAACAATGCTGTGATTTACAATAGGTTATCAACACTTAGAAGTACGTGTGAGAGAGAGAGAGAGTGAGAGAGAATGTGTGTGTGTGTGTGTGTGCATGTGAGTGTGTGTGTTTGAAGCAAGGATCCATGACTTCTATTGTCAAAGGAATCTGGGAACCTTCCCTCAAATTTTACCATTTAAGAATACACACACACATAAATAACCTAAGCCGTTTGGGGCAGCTAAAATTGGCATTGGCTGTTTCTTATAATATGCTGGTCCAGTGTGCTTAGGTGAAGTAACTTCTTCCATGTTTCAGGGTATCTGTTGGCTTAACAGTTGAGTGAGGCATAGACTAGAGTTCAGGATTAAGTTGTATAATATATTTTGTTTTAGTCTCTCATATTTCTAGTATTTGACTACTTATCCCATATTATGTTTCAAATTCTTCCTCATACTTCTTGATCTTAGCTTAATTAAGCAAGTTAGTATTAGAGATTAATTGACTGAATCCAACATTAACCATTTTGTACTTGCACAAAAAACCTTAACACTTTGTTTTTACTGAATCACCAGCTCAGGTCATTAAGAGAGATCTTGAGAGAAAAGAGGACTAGAAGGCAAATAGATATCTAAGGAAAGAATTATAGTCCTCATATTAATGTTGGCATATGAAGCTGATATTTATAAAGTCCTGCTGGAGAAATACATTCAAGGCAAAAATTTCCAGAACTGTCCTCAAACTTCATTTATTTAAAAAAAAAATTGCTTTAAAGCAAAATGATTACATTTCACTTAATTTCCTATTAAATATTCCAGTTATTTTAAAATACGATAGAAAACCTACAGGCTTTGCCTGTCGTACAATATTTGGGCATACAACTTAAACTGTAATTGTAAACTTACTAATGTTTGATAAAATACATGGAGGCATTAAAGATAGTATGTAATTTGTATTTTAAGGAACTAGAAATAGGAATTCTGAACTGTTTTATGTCTAAAAATCTGGCTTTTATCTTTCCATGGACAAACTTTCTATGCCTCAGTTTACTCTAAATATGTAAAGGATGTTCATTTTTTCAGAGCGTTAACACTCCTGAGTAAAGGACAAAGTATAAGCTCAGAGTATTACTTAAATAATCATATATATAGTTTTTGTTCTTGAGTGTGCAGATCTTTTCCCCAATCACAATATTTCTTAAAGTCAGTTTTTTTAATGCTGTTAAATTTGTAAAATTACCTTGTCTTTGAGTATGGCATTATCTCTTCCTAAAATGTATTTTGCAGTTGCTTTTGGACTATACGATCAAAATCAAGAGAATTTGGGGAGTATAAAAAGCATTAAAAGTCTATTTTTTCCATTATCTTTCATATATCTAAGTATTTAGATTCCCTTTTTCTCCATGTAACAAAGCACATTGGTATCAGGTCACTAATACATACATGTAAAACTTTTGCGCATGGATGAGAGTTCCTAGGTTCTCTAGGAATATAATGGCTTTTTGTTTTATTTTATTTTATTTTATTTTACTGATATTATAGCTACTGAGAAAATCTTATGAAGAATCAACGTTACTTTTCTCAGGTGACACTTTAAAACAAAGTTTAAAATCGAAGGCTTGTTAGCCAAAAAAATTTACGAAAGAGAGATAATGGAGTCTGAGGGACAGATTGCAGGACCCTGATAATTTTAACTTCTTTTGAAGATTTATCTTAATTTTTTAATTCATGCATGTCTCTTACTTAATCCCAGGGTCTCTGCTGTTAGAAATTAGAGTTTAATCCATTGTGATATGCATATGTATTTTTACATAAAGTATTCTAATTTCTAGTTTCACTTTTCTAATCTAAAAACATTAAATTTTAAAAAACTGGGTAAAAGTCTTCCAACTGTTGCTTCAAGTTCGGGTTTGTCCTTTTGTCCTGAGATTTAGACTTCTCTCCCTATAACAGTATTTTTTAGAACATGGTACTATCCCATATAAGGTATTGAAATACCATAGCAGAAATACAAAACCTAAACTTTAAATCACAGTAGATTTAAAAGACAAAAAGAGTTCTATTGTTATTCTGCAGTGCCTGTTCTTTACCTAATATTTTAACTTTAAGAATTTAAGAATTTTTTCAAATAACTTAATAATTTGTCATGAATTTTAAAAACTTTATATCCATCTTAACTACACTACAGAGAGGCAGAGATGCCTCCTACTAAGACGATATACAAAGCAGAATTCTTCTGATGGTGATGCTGGCTTCTTTGAGTCTAGTAGTTACAACTTTAAATAGGAAGTCAGAAAACAAATTCCCATCTAAATTCCCCTATCAGTGACCTGTCCAAATGGGCATTATAAGTAAAATATCCTATAGAGTGATTCTGACTAGTAGAATATGTTTATAGACTAAGATTGGCATTTAATCTTTGAAGATCTGTCTGATGTGTCTCAATTTTGTCAGTTTTTACTCCTTTTCACATCTTAGTTGTGTGATATAATCATTATTTTCCAGAGTACAGTGGATATCATAGTTCTACAGATTTTTAAAGATGAGGATTTGAAAAACTTCCAATGGTTTTTGTTAAAAGGGATTTTCCTCAATAAAATGACAACTATTGTTTTCACAGATCCACACATCACAAGTAGGACAATATCATAGAAGAATGATGTATGATTGCTCCACAGCAGTCAGCAAAAGGGATAATTGGATAATCTT